CTTGGATATGAGGGTATTCAAAGAAGTCCCTAACTCATGACTCCTGTTTCTTCACATGCCAAATTAGATAAAAGCTCCTTTCATTCCCTACTCCCACACAGGGGTGACCTGAGAAAGGTTTGATAAGTATGTGGTCATACACAAGCCCATATATATATGGAAACGTTAAATTCATGTTGGAATTTCTGTCTTAGTTGACTCTCTATGACATTCAAACACACTTATTTTATTCAGCCTGTTTCATAGGCCAGGATGTTCATCATAATTTTTTCTCTCTATGCAGTGCTAAGTTGTGTTAAGACTTTTTTCCCCACCTAATTAAGTCTGTGTTTTTTCATGGTTCAACAGTCATCAACCCCAGCTTATAATACGACTGCACCGAGTGCTGCAGGGACAGCATGGCAATAGCTCCCAAGCCACATGAAAGAAAAGGTCATTATTTGGCCTTTTGGAAGAAGCCACCAGTTTCAGGACGGTTCTTTTCTTGTCAGTTGCGGCAAAGCATGACTAACTCTCCCAGCTTTGAGCCTCGGTTGTGGTCGGTCTCCTCCCTCAATGCTCCCTGCCACCCCTCTACAGCCTTTGGAGGTTTAGCAGTGGCCGTGTAAGTCCGACATTCTCCTGCAGAGAGCAGGTAAGGCTCTTTCTCAGCTCACTCACATAACATATGATCTGGGAAACATGAACGAGAGCCGGTCAATGGCACCTTTGGACAGGGGCCGACTTCATATGCTGAAATCCTAACTTGCTTCCCAGCCCAGCCCTCACAGAAGCCATGTCCACTCATTCATCTTGCAGGGAACTTGGAGGGCCAGAGGCCACTGTTGCCATGGCTTTTGGAAGATGTGGCCTCAGCCCAGCTCCTCAGCATAGTTTGGAGGCCCAGAGCAGGTGCAGTGTTCCAACTGGGCTCTTTGGGAGCTGTGTACGTACAGGTGGTTTCACGGTTAAAAGCCCTAGTAGTGTAAAAAAGAGATCAGAGTGATGAGTGAGCATTTCTGATGCCTGCACATCTGCTACCTTTGTCTTCTCTTGTCGCCCTGGTTTTCGATTGCCTTGCCTCCGTTGCCTTCCACCTGTTCACTTTTCCCTTTGCCGACAAACCAATCTCTTCCCTTAATTAAGTCAGCAAGCATTCATCGGAGAGGCATCGTCATACTTTGGCAAGAGGATGGGGACAGAGATCTCCCCAGAAGCAATTAGGAATGCTTGTTAGTGGTGATTAAGAAGTGGTGATTAATACATGAGCAATTACCTGCTCAAGAAAATGGTTCCTAAAAGAGTTTCTCTCCCAGGCTTTCACCCTAAAACCTACTGGGCTAAAGAGTCTTCATGATGGTTCATACAGAAAAAGAAGCAGCCTAGGATGCACAGCTGCCTACCAATGGCCCGTCTTCAAAAACTGCCATAGTCTCTGGGTATCCAGAGACCAGCATTCTGAGTGGCATCCAAGAAAATCATGTGCTCAGTACATGCTCTGCAATTCTTTGTGGGATGCCTCGAGCCTCTTCCCTTTTTGTTAACTTGTAAGTCAAAGTTTGGAATTTAGGTGAGTGAGAACAAGTGTTGTATTTGTTTGTATATATTTTTGAAGAGGCATATGTCCTAAGTGTCCATGTTAACCACGATTGGCAATCCAGGACTTCCACACACCATCCAATGTGTGTCCCATCTGTCACTGGGCTTTTTTCATTCTTAACCAACTCTTCCATGTTCTGTTATATGCTCATCTTGTCGTGGTTTAGTATAACCTGTCCTCTTTGTAAGGCTTTCACCATATCTAAGAGCACTATGTCCTGGATAGGTGGGGATGCTCGCTAGTAGTTGGAATTGTAGACACAAGTTTGGTGGTGTGTTTGCTAAGGTTAATTTGTGGAAAAACCCCAAGGGAATAAATTACATTAAAGTATGGTAGTGGAATAGTCTCCTGAGAATATTCAATTCAAACTCTCCTCTCCCTGTGTGTGAAGCAGAGATACTACACAGAATGTGAACACCTAGGGGGATACTCAGGTTTGAGCCACAGTTCCTTCCTGACCATGGGTAAGTCCTCAGGCTTTCTCAGCCATCAGAGTTTCATTTTTAAAATGGTAATGGAAGAGTTAATGGAGGATTAGAGCCACGGATCCCTGACATGCAGTGGAGCTAACAGAAGCACCACAAGGGAGTGCTTATAACCCAGCTGTCACTGTCTATCTCCAATGGACCAATCCGAGTCATCGATGAGAGTCAGAAGCCTTGCAAAGTGCCTTGCAAAGTGTGTCACATACACAGTGATTCCATGCAGAAACGGTCTTGGATGGGACTATGACGAGGAAAGCACTCTTCTTGCAGTGGTATAGCCTGAAATGTTTTTGTTGTTGTTGTTGTTGTTGCTGTTGTTGTTGTTGTTTTTGTTTATTTTTTATTTTTTATTTTTTTGAGACAGCCTCAAGTAGTCTAGGCTGGCTCAAACTTACTAAGTATTCAAGGTTAACCCTAAACTCTTCATTATTCTGTTTATACCTCCTGAATGCTGAGTTTACAGTCATGAGCCACCACTCTCAGTTTTAGGGTGCTGCTGAGATGTGTATGTCAGGCAAGCACTCCACCAACTGAGCTACATCTCTGATGCCCTGGAGAAAGTTTTGAGTAATGAGATCCTAGGACCCTCTTCATAAACTTGGTCGGAATCTCACACTAGTCTTAAAGTTGTCTACCATAATACTCCATTGATTTTGAGACATAGAGATAATCCCAAAGCGATCTTTTTTTTTTTTTAACTGGGGTTACTCTGGGTAAATTCCTCAAACTCCAAATAGAAGCAGTAAACACGTGAATATAAATATGACAATCATTTGTTTGGCTGTAACCATTTTAGATAGTTTTTGGCATACTTAAAGGTACAGACTTATTTTTTGGTGGATGATTAAAAAGCTACTCCGTGTTTATGTTGTTTAACCCACCTTTGTCACCACGTTTTGGTGACATTATCAATTTCTTACAAAGTTGCTATATTTCTATTCAGTACCCTGCTGTGGGAATGGAAAAAGCTGTTAGATGCTTGACTCCTTAGAGGCAGTGTACAGGCAATTGTTTATGGATAACTCCACATTGATACGATTGTCATGGTTTTTATCTGAGGACTTGAAGATTTTCCAACTTTTTCCTTTTTCTGATTAGAACTAGCATCAATGGTAGCTTTTAACCATTTGCATTTTTTGTCATTTGTATTTTTTTCACCAAGGGATTTAAAGATCATCGGTAACATGGGATGGTACCCTGCTGAAGAAAAGCTTCAATCCCTCTTCCCATAAGGATGCTCTTCTATGAGGGGATAACAAGAAGAAGGGATGGTTATAGGATTCAGATTTAGAGGGAAGTTAATCGTAACAGTGTAGCTTAGAGAGAAATGAGTCAGTCTTGCACTCTCAAGTTCTCCCTACATGCTTTAACACCCACATCTGGTAGAGCTGTTAGGACTCATGCAGAGAGCCCAAGACAGGCTAAGATCCCAGCCAACTTCTCAGTGGCAGCATCCAAGTTCAGAACACAAGGCCAAGTAACTATCTTGCTGGCCAACAAGAAGACACGGCCCAGGAAAAAGTGGAAGAAGCAGGTCATATTCAAACCCACATGCCACATGCATGCATTTTCTTCGTTGCAATATGGATAAATATTTGCCTTTAGAAAGACTTACACCAGTTTGATGTAAGGGAGGAAAGAAAGCTGCGAGGGTCAGGAGCCTCGCTGTCAAGGCTTCACAGTAACATCAACCTGCTCTGAGCTCTTGGGAGAAATTCAGTAAATAGGGGAAGAAGTTATGAAAAATGTTGGTAGTGGTGATTCTTATTAGGGTTGGTGGCATAAACATTAAACCTTATTTTATAATTCTTATGGTAGAATGACAGGCACATTTTAATTTTTATATGTAATTACCATAGTCACCATTCATAATCATGTGAATTATTAAGGATGCAAGGGTTTGGTATACATAAAGCAAGAAAAAAATACAGCACATTCCACAAGATTTTGCAAAAAGTAGGAGTCAATTTGGGCAGTGGTTTGGCAATCAGCTAAAGTGTTTGAGGGTTAACGTCAGTATGTTTGGAAGCTCAGGAGGGATGTACCTGGACCCCAAGACTCTCCACACCACAGGTGAACGCCAGTCACTACATGGCCATGAAGCAAGGGAGAGGAAATGGAAGCCAGGATTCTGCCATTCCTGGATTTCCATTATGGAGTTCTGGAAAAGGCAAGTGGTTTGTCACATCAAAGAGGCTGCAGAACAAGAGGGGATCAGCCTGACGTTGCTCTTTAAGGAGGTAAAAGAAGAAAGCCTTCCTTCACAAGTCTTGCAATTGCTGCCCCAGGCATACCTTCTTTCCTTGAGAAAAGCATGCTGTCCCTGGTTAGTCCTGCCACACTCCTTAGATCCCAGTTTCAAATGGGGATAAGGAACCCATCAGAAAGCAACCCTTGGGAAACCCCGGTCCAGGTTCTCCCAAGCTGAGGATCTGGTGGCTTTTCCAAACTTGCTCTAAAGGCATGCTGGCCACTACCTTACTCGCCTTTCTTACTCGCCTTTCTGTCTAGGTCCCCTCTCCATAAATGTCAAATGTAGTTGCCAGTAGATTCAGCCTGAAAATAAAATACCCTCCCTTCCATCAAGAAATAGCTCCAAACTTAGAGTGTGTGCTCAAAATATTCACAATGAAATCATCATCCTGTATTTATAGTCTTTTGGATTGTGTACGAAATTTTCTTTCCCATGGTATTTCTTGTTGAAAGGGTCAGTTGTGGAGAGCGGGATCAGAGAATGACTGAGGGCTTGAGCTGAAGGGAAATGGGCCTGAGACCCTGCCTCTTACCCTACGTTCTACCCACACGCTCCCTCTCCCCTTTCCCAGATGGGGACCTCCTTGAATGGTCCTGGCTTGTTCTTCAAGAATTCACTGGCCTTCTGAGTGGGAGTCTGCAGTACCTAGTGCCATCCCTCTTCCTGTGACCTTTCCCATCCTCTAGACTTCCTCCCCATTTTCACCGAGGGAGATGGTGTGGATCTTAATGGTTGGAACTTGGTGATTTTCTTCAAGGCTGGGGTTCGAGGACCCCACACAGCAGCAGACCTGCAAAAAGCTTTTACTTCTCACCCGGGCTGTGGTACAGGCAGATTGGTCCTTCGGCCTTGTAATCCTGGCCGATCCCTGGGGCATGGAAGAGAAAAACTTCCACTCACAGACTCCGTCTGTCTTGGAGATCTTATAGAAAGTCTCTCCGGAGCCCACGGGGATACGCACCATGTCTCTGTGCTGTCCCTCCACGGCCTGGCTGGGCGGGTGCAGGGTGTAGCCCAGGGCGTGCTGAGATTGCCGTCTGCGGAGACACTGGATTCTCAGGACATTCTGAAAAGCTTTCTTGAACTCCTGACTGGAGCATGGGTATATGATGGGGTTGATGCAGCTGTTTAGGTACCCAAGCCAAAATACTATTTTGAAAACGGTTTCCGAGGGCTTGAAATCAGGGAAGAAGGAGCCTGGAAGAGAACACAAAGGGTGGTGACACATATGATTGGCAAGTCAAGCGGCCAATCGGTTAGAACTACAAACCAACACACATCTTTTTATATCTTTAAAAGTTTCCAAAGCTTCCAGATGCATGCAAGTGTCCCACATTTGCTTGTAACCCTTTGTTATGATTTCAAAGACCATTCAGGGAGATAGTGATAGGGTTGTACCAGCTCCCTCTGTCAGAGGTAGAGAATCATCTGTTGGTTTCCTCCAAGCCTTAGAGAGTGCAGCATCCCGTTTTGGTAGAGTCTAGACGTATGGTTTTGCCTGGGTAATAAAATAAGGTAGGGGTACATTCAAACCCACATCCACATTAAAATGTGATTGCCCCAGCAGGGTGATGGCACACGCCTTTCATCCCAGCACTCGGGAGGCCGAGGCCGGCGGATCTCTGTTACATAGAGAGAAAAAATGTGATTACCTGATCATATCTTCTGTGAGCAGAAGGTTCTAGAATGCCCAGCCCAGAGCTCCTTTTTTCCACCCCAGACATTCACTAGCTCCCTGAAAAGGCATTGTATGACTTTATGTACCTCTAAATCTTCCTCTTCATTCCTTCCAGGGGGTTTGTAAGTACAGCTTCACAGTCCTTTATCTCTTTCTCCCTTCCTCCTTTCCCCCCCCCCTCCCTCTTTATGTGTAACAGATTTATGTCCACTTAGGTGAATGACTTTGGGGCAGACTTACGACACCTGTAGGCTTCAGTTTTTCCTTCTGAATAAAGCGGGAGGTGAAGTGAAACTTTTCCTCATGGTCCCACACAATCTGTTTTCCTTTCTTTCAGCCTATGCTCTCTAGTATTATTAACTTATTGTTTGAGAACTTCACACGTGCATATAATGGGGTTCGATCAAATCCACCCATAGGTCGTCCCCTCCAACTTCTCTCATATCCTCACCCCTTTCCCCTTTCAAGTTCATGTACGCTTCCCATAACTCTCTGAACCCACTCAGCGCCGTGTGCCGGGAGCAGGGGCAGCCCATCAGGGGATGCATTCCTTAAGAAAAGGATGCCCTGTCTCCTCCAGCAGCCATCAGGTACTGAAAGGTCCTCAGATGAGGGTGGGATTTCCTGTATCCATGCTGAGAAGAATGTGGTCTTGATTTTCTCTCTTTCTCTTTCTCTCTGAGCTGCAGACCCATCAGAGTTAGCACACATTACAGAGGGCTCCAGCCAACAGTATCTTGGCTCAGCCGGAGACAAAACTTACATGCCATGGAGGTCAAAACAGTCAGAATGGTGCAGTGGATGATGGGAACATTTACCACCCAAGCACAAATCTTGTCAAGTTTAACACGTCTCCAAGTAATCACAGACACACAGGAGTTGACTTTGGGAAACCATACAGCTGAGGAAATTTTATTCTTTAGGTTCCAAGTTTTCAATGCTGTGTAATTATTAAAACAAAGTTTAGAGTCGCCAATTATCTGTCTTGAGTCAGGCAGTGTGCTTAACTTTTTGCCTATAATTTAACCATTATTAGTCATATTGGGAGTTGTATGACTTCTGGGCTGGGGCAATGGCTCAGTCAGTAAAATGTTTGCCTTGCAAGCATGGGGACCCGACTTTGGTGCCTAGAACTCATGTAAAAAAAATACATGTGTGGTGGTACATGCTCAGCCCAGCAGTGAGGAGGCAGAGACAGGTGGATCCTTCAGGTTTTTTGGTCTACCAGCCTAGCCTACTTAGTGAGTTCTAGACCAGAGAGAGAGCTTATTTCCCACTCCTCCACACACAAAGAGGATCATGCATAATAAACAAGACCCGAAGTTGCCTTCTGACCTTCACACTCACGCACATACACATGCAAGCATATCCATGTGTATATGCGTCTACACACACATATGTACCTGCATCTAAACAGGTGCCCACATACCAAGTTACATACTTAATATCAGTATTTCTATTTTGCCAAAAAAAGAAACTGTCATTGAATGAGGCTGAGTAACTCAACCTAGGACATTCAGGTAATCTCTGGGAGGGCTAGGACTTGACATTAGGCAGTCTAATTTTGTCTCAGAATTTCCTAGACTAATACGCTTCTTGGGAAGAGAACACTACACACAAAGAGTGAAATGAGTAGTCAGGGAAGGCTGAATTAGAATCAAGCTTTTCAAACTTCGTTTGGGAGCAGAGAAAGTGGTCTATTCTAACAAGATGAATGGCTTTGTGCAAATATGGTCAATTCTAGGGAAGATTTCATTTTGCATTCCAATGTCTATATATTGTTCAATATTTCTCTCTCATGGTGACAGCAATGTGATTAAGGCAACCCATTTCACAAACCTCTGCCTTTTCCTGGGCTTAGTGACTGATGGCAAGCAGAGATGAGCTTGGCATAGCAAAACCCACCTCATCTGGAGACTGCATTACAAACAAGTCAGCCAGACAGGGGAAGTATTTTCCTTATCTGGAGAATTTTTAGCTAACAGCAGCAACCACACAGCCCATAAGCCCTCTAAACATGAAGCTATTAAAGTGATTTGAGAGCCCCAGTTCCTTCCAGGATGCTATTTCTGCTTAGAGTCCAGGTTTGCATTCATAATTCTTATTCTTCCTTTTACTCCTCGATTTCTGAACCTCTGTATTCCCCCTGACCCCATTTCCTTAACCTTGGGTCTAGTTGACCCACAGGCTAAGTTCCTACGCTCTATTTCTGTGGTCTCTATCCTGTATCCACACTGTCAACAGGAGGTGCAGTTCTTATTTCGACACGCACCACTCAAAACATCCCATTTGTTTTTCCTGCAGCTAAGCTATAAGGCAAGAAAATGATTTTTTTTTTAAATCAACATATTAAGATTTGGATGTCAGACTGTCTCCAGCCTTAATTCTTCAGGAACATTTTCTTTCTAATCCAAGTCATCTCTGGATATTGGCTGTTCAAACAGTGAGTGGGAAATACTTCCAGGCCAAAGACCTTTCCATAAACAGCACCATTTGGTTTATTCCATTAAGTGGGTGACAGTATCGGAATGTGTCTATGCCTAGTACGTGCTTGCCCACTTTCAATCTGTTGATTTCCCCAGAGGCCAGTGGCTGCATCTCCTTCCTTGTATAGAGCATTGTTTTCACTTCAGAGAAGATACCTGTGAATCTCTCTGAGTAGCTGCTGATGGCCTGTGCTCAGGGGAAGGATGCAGAATAGTACCTCTACCAGCAGTACCTCTTCCCACTGGGAGAGAAAAGAGAGCAGGCAGCCCTGTTCTCCTTTGTATACTAGCCACATCCTCTGCTCTCTTTCTTTACTTCATTTTCCTCTCTTAGAAAGCATGCCAGGAGTGGGCACAAAAATTGGAAAAGTTGCTAGCACACAGTTCCCAACAACAAGTGTTACCCTACTGTCTCCTTCCTGGCCCAGACCTTACCACACAGACCCAGTCTTCTTTGATCTCCCCAAACTCAGTTTCTTCTCAGACCCCTTTCTCCCAGGTTCCTGGTGATGCTTTTAGGGGTGTGAGCACAGCTGGAGAAGGCTGTTTCTGGTCCCATTTATCAGAAGCACCAGGGTGCAACCAGTCATGCAGAAAATGTGTGGTGGTTAATCCTGATATCAACTTGACAGGATCCAGAGTCACCATGGAGACAAATCGATGGTCATGTCTGTGAGAGATTTTCTGAATTAATTGACATTGGAAGACCCACTTTGAATGTGGGTGGCACCATTCCTTAGGCTGTGGTTTTGGGCTGCATGAAAAGGGTACTGAGCATCAATGTTCATCCTTCTGTGCTTCCTGTCCGTGAATACAATGTAACTAGTTGCCTCACACTCCTGCCACCACAATACACAGCATCTCCTTAAACCACGAGCTGTAACAAAACCTTCCTTCTTTAAGTTGCCTTGGTCAGGTATTTGGTCCCAGCAACAGAAATGTAACTAATACAAGTTGGGTTTCTCTGATTCAGACAGAAGTATATGAACTCCACTCTACCAGGACCTTCTTTTTGTCACTCACAGGACTCTAGAATCCAGTATAACGACCTGGAAGGCCAACTGCAAATTCCTATTAAGTGGTTGACCTGGGTGACAATGACTGTAGCTGACTGAATGGCTGAGTGACCTCGTTTTCTCTATGCTTGTGGCTACCTGGGGTCATGGAGCATTTTCCCCTAATCACCATAGCTGCATACTGCTCTCCTTAAGCTCGCCATTTTTCTTTTTGTCTTCACGGTTTGTGCACTTTCTTTCCAGTCCTCTGTTGTTTTCTGTGTTGTCATTTCTCTCTAGTTTCTCCCCATTCTGAATCATTTGTTGTCAAATACCTCGGCATTTCTTATGCTTTGTAGGAAGAATGTCTTCTGAAACCCTCATATGAGAGATTCCTGTTCCTTTTGTCACCCTTGCTGTGTTTCATCCCCCGGTGACCTCTGCCCAGACTTTGCCTCCAGGGATCCAACAGCAATCAGCTTAGTTGCTGGAACATCTTGGCCTGTAGGCCAGGTCACCTTTCACATGTGAATTTGCCTAATTTAGTTTTTTTTTTTAAACCAAGATTTTAAAATTTATTTTCAGAATACAAATGCTCTATCTGCATGTATGAGTTTATACCAGAAGAGGGCTGATATCAGATCCCACTAGACGTGGTTGTGAGTCACCATATGGGTGCTGGGAATTGAACTCAGGAACTCTGGAGGAGCAGCCAGTGCTCTTAACCACTGAGCCATCTCTCCAGCCCCCTAATTTAATTCTTTAGCTTTAGAAAATTTTAAACTCTTTTTTTTGGGGGGGGGCGGTTCGAGACAGGGTTTCTCTGTGGAGCTTTGGAGCCTATCCTGGCACTCGCTCTGGAGACCAGGCTGGCCTCGAACTCACAGAGATCTGCCTGCCTCTGCCTCCTGAGTGCTGGGATTAAAGGCGTGTGCTACCAACGCCCGGCTAAAATTTTAAATTCTTTGGGGCTTCTTCTTTAAAAATTATTTTATTTATTTATTCATTTATTCAGTGTGTGTGTGTGTGTAACACACA